CAGTTAATATTTTTAGTTGATTTTTTTTTTAAATAATAGTTATACGTTAGGTCTATAGCTATATATCAATAATTAATTTTTTTACATTTTATTAAAAATATTAATTATTTTTAAATTTTAAATAAAATGTAAAAAAAAAATCTAAGATAGCTATTTTGTAGAGTAGAATTTAAGAAAAATTTTAGTAAAAAAATATCTTATTAATATTCAGTAGTAAATATTCTGTAGCGTTTTGAAGTTTGTGAAAATTTGAATTTTCATGTACTATTTTACGGTATTAAACATTGAAATACGTATTGAGAAAAGGACAGAAGAAAACGCTATCTTTTCAATATACTTTTGAATGAGAGTGATAAGTAATAATTGCCTTATCTAATTTCTTATCATGATATTAATGCCAAGTTTGTAATGTATACACATTATCATCATATGTGTACACAGTAATCATGAAAAGATAGCGTTTTCTTCTGTCCTTTTCTCAATACATATTTCAATGTTTAATACCGTAAAATATTACATGAAAATTCAAATTTTCACAAACTTCAAAACGCTACAGAATATTTACTACTGAATATTAATAAGATATTTTTTTACTAAAATTTTTCTTAAATTCTACTCTACAAAATAGCTATCTTAGATTTTTTTTTTACATTTTATTTAAAATTTAAAAATAATTAATATTTTTAATAAAATGTAAAAAAATTAATTATTGAGATATAGCTATAGACCTAACGTATAACTATTATTTAAAAAAAAAATCAACTAAAAATATTAACTGGATCAAAAGTTATTTAAGTTGTTAGTGAGTGGTGGGCCACCCTGTATAGTAATAAGTCACATAAGTGTGGTGATGCTTCTAATGAATATGTGTCGGACAGATCAAAATAAGTGTATAGTGGCCTGGTAGCAATTAATGGTTCATCTCGCTAATTTAACGAGGGAAATATAGAACAGGCATCTAATGCTACTCTTCACAAATGTCATTAACGTACTACATAAACCACAACAACACCGTCACATTGTTACCTACAATGTTATATAATATATATATTGGATATTAAACTATAATTTAATTTGCAAATCCGAACACTAATGTTTAATTTTTTAACCTATTAGTTAGATTTTTTTTTACGCAATCTTAACGTGAGTCCTTTATAGAGTAACTTTAAATTAATAATTAATTTCGGTTTTTATTTTTAATAGGTTAAGTTAGTGTCTAGTAATTGTGGTTAATAGATAATTTAGTATTTTATTGAAATAAAATCAATTTTTCTCAAGAAATTTAAAATAATGAAATAAAAAGGAATTGGACTTATGATAACTGTCTGTGTTTTAAACATTAAAAACAGAATTATATGATATTTATTTATTTATATTGATTCTTATACTTATTTACATTTTTATTTTAACTGCTTCATAATTAATATATATAAGAATAAAATATATCTAAAATTTATTGTAAAAAAAAATCTATCTATTAAAATTTGATGAGAATATTAAACCTGTGTAATATTCAAACTATATTGTTATAATACATGTGAAACTAATATAAGCGTGTTAAAAATAAATTTCAACTTGTAGAAATTAATCTTTACATCTTAAATTTCAAGAAGTCGAATAAAAGTGAATTTTTTAAATAAGGTTTTATATTAAAAAATGCTCTTTGAAGGGATGAACCGGTAAGAGATCATATTGAAACCTCTACTCAGCACAATATTTCACTGAATCGGCAAATCCGAAGAATGTGTTAATTTAGGAAAATGTTATACAATAATATAGGAAAAATTCAGTTGAAATAATATATTTTTTAATTGCAGTCTGCATCTCTCTAATCTTACATAAATAGTTTTTAATATTATACACTGCATAATTAAATATTATTGTGCTAATAACTTTGAGTATACATTCAATCCAGAGAAATTAATATAAAAATCTTTATTTCTATACCTTAGAACTAGACAAACGATAGTCATATATAGTCATTTTTTAGGAAAGCGTAAAAATAGAAAAATAAAACATTTTTGAATCGTTAGAGAGATAGAAATCAAAGTTTACTAACTCTTATTTAAATAAACCCTTGGTCTATATAAAAAATTATATGGTTAATTCATTTTTTATGTGAGTTATGTTTAGCTACGTTCATAAGTTGCACATTAAAATTAGGTTCTTAACTCGTATAACTTTGATAAAATATGGAAAGGTTATCGTATCAGACAGTATTCTGTTATATAAAATCAATATAAACTTTTATTTCGCATTCAAAAATGTCATAAACAGGAAATTATTATTAATTTAACTATTATTATTAATTCACTTCAATAACATTTTTTGATATGACTACGAATTAAATTAAAATGCATAATAATTGATAAATTGTTTATTATTATTATAATAAATTATTAAATTATTTAAATTATTATTTATAATAAAAAAAATACTGTAAATATATTGATAAACATATTTTAAATGTTTATTGAACTTTAAATGTTCGATGATATTTAAAACTAAAGCAAATATCAGAAAAAAAATGTGTCCATAAATCAATCAACTATTTTTATTTTTATTTTTAGCAGGTATTTTTAGAAGTTCACACAATACAATAATATTAATGCCACTGACGACAGATTGCAGTTCAAATTTCGTAGTATTGAGCTAAAATACCGTATCTCAAAAAATATATCTATGAATTATATTTTATAGAGCTCATGAATAAATGCTTTGCAAATAACCAATTCAAAAGAACTATGAACACTGAGGAAATTATTCAAGTTACTTCTAAAAATTTAAATTTTCTCATTACTATATAAAATTTAAATGAAAGTCTAAAACTACGTGAATTTTCAAATGGCCAATTGGAAATCTCCATGTCAATTTCACTGTGGCTCTCTGTGCGCCTGTTTTAATTACTGTTTTATAATAAAATTATATTTGTATAATAAATTTGTCATACTTTAGAAATAAATTGCAGGTTTCTTTTGGTTCCGTCTTTGGGATGCTGAAATACCTTTTATTTTTAATACAAACATCCTTCTTTAAAATTACCTCCTTTCTCAAGAAAAACCCTTTAAAATGTTGATAGGAGTATATATTTACTTTTCGAAATCGTTTGGTGATCAACTTATTTAAATAACATAGATCTGCAAATCGTTTAAATGTATTCACTACATACTGATATCCATGGTTGTCATAACCTATTAGTTAAGAACACATTTTTTTTCTCCTTTCTGTTAATCTAACAAACGTGTACAACAGACCCCATTTCGAAATATTTTTAAAACAAAATATTTTTTAATCTTTAAAAAAAATTTGTTGAATATTTTTAACTCGACGATTTATTTATTTATTAGACGGTGAACATCCAACTTCTCAACTTATAAATGTTAACTTAAAATTTAAATTATAGAAAGTAAATTAAAATTCTACATTGTTATATTGATTATAAAATTAAGAAAGAAAAAATTAAATAATAATTTCTCATTAAACAGACAAAAATTGCATATAATACTACTTTATACAAAAAAAAAAAATCTTATGCCTTCAATTCAAAAACATTTTTAGCATAATAGTAGAGTTTAAAAATCATTCCCCGAAATTCAAAAAAAATATAAGTATTGTTATCTAGGATTATTTTTTAAAGTAAGGAAAATAAGATTTAATTCGCGTAAAAAGTGTAATCACCCAACATCTAATGATTTAAACAATGCATAACATTTTTATTTTTAAGGAATATAACGATCTTAACATTAAATTATTGCACTAATAGTAATGCATATTGTAACAATAATTAACAACAGACTTCTCATTGTAGACAGTTAAAACGTAATATTTTTACTTTAGGTAAATTAATAAGGATTAATCTATTTTTTTTTACAACATCAACGGTTTAGGCCAAATGCTACTATTTTTCTTTGATATAAGTAGGCAATATTAGCGGAATTTTTAACGAATAAAGCTAAATATTTAATAAGAATCATAACAATTTTAGCGAGGGATGGTGCAACAGATAAAACAGTATAAATTCCTTCGAGATTAAACTAAAGAAACGTCACACATTGAGTCATACCCAAATGTCAGCTAATGAGTTAACTACCAGGAAAGTTTAATGCGGTTTACCAGATGGTGCATCGATACACGTGTCACGCTAATGGTTGAATTGTTCGGAAGAAGTTTCACGAGAAAACGATTTCAGACTAAATTCTAACAAATGGACAAAAACAATTATTTTGAAGAATTGTGTCTAATAATTTAAAGTTACGTGGAAAGTCCTCCCTTCGATTACCACTTGGCGTTATTAATAGCACTGTGTGTAGTAGCAAAAGTAATTCAATGTAATAAATTTGTCGATAATACCCAAAACAAGTTGAAATTCCCAAGAAACTTATAATAATACACGTGAAGCCATCAGTATTTTATATTTAAATATAGTGTTTGCATCAAATGAAAATAGAAAATATTCAAAAATAAATAAAATGAGCTACACTTATAAAACACATAAGCTAATAACATGAATTTTTTATTTTAATGAAGACTACACGAAAGTTTCTGAATTTTAAATTTAATAAAAAAAATGATAATAATAAAAAAAAGAATTCTTAAGATATATTGAAATTATAGAAACAACTTTGTTAGTTATTCGTTCTTCATTAGAAAAACTTGTAATGTAACTACAGATATTATCCAATCAAATATTTGTAAAAAAATAAATAACTGTTATAATTAGGTAACGTATTATTAAATTTCACGACAGTTGTATTATACAAGAACTTCAAACATAAAAAACTTCGATTAATTTTGTTTTATATATTTTAGTTGTAAAATTAAAATAAATTTTCTCTACCACAAGTTAATTTTTATATCTAATCTGCCCCTGACCGAGTCTTATGTTTTGTTATGGTATTAATTAAATTTGGCCAAAAACAATTTAGTGGAAGTTCAAATAATATTCAATTAAAAATTTGCTAAATGATAAATATATACTAATTACAATAAGTTTCACTGACCTCCACAAGCTGGTTTAAAGTCGGAACAACAATCGCCAAGCTTAAGACACGCGTGATCACAATAGCATGGCTTGTCAGTAGGATCTTCAATAATGGCATTTATGGGAGTTTTTTGAACTACACACGATGAATCACGACCAGGGCAACAAAGATTGGCTTCTAAACAGCTACCTGCTAAAGCTGAAGGTGTCAGAAAACAAAACAGAAACGCCATAAAGGCGGCCTGTATACTCATTTTTTAATTTTTACCTGGCTACCTGATTCAACGAACTACGAGTCACGTGGACTCTATGGAATTGGAATTCTCAAGACGCGAATAAAAGTAGTACTAACTCTGACTGGTGAACAGACACTGTTAAGAGATGCCGTTGTTACAGGACACCGGTCAAAGAAACTACTGAGCGCATCACGCGGCAACTCATAAGGGATCGTACAGTGTAGCCAGCTCATATAACATTACTCACTACACAGCATCCTCAACTCAAATAATTATTTAAATGTAATAATTTAAAAATATACTTTTTAATATTTAAAAAACCCTACGAAGAAAAAGCTAGTATATGTTTAAATTTTTAACAGATCAAGTATATTTGTAAACATATTTTTTTGTAATGCTAAAATATTTATTTAATTTGTTTGGAATTTTAATCATTTTTTTGTTTAATATATATTAATTTATGAAAAAATACATTAGTTTTTAATATTTTAAATTTATTGAATAATTAAAAATTTATTATTACAGATGCATTATGAAATGCCATATTCCTTTTTCTAACTAAATACTATTTATTAAGTAATTTATCTAAGAGATATTTTATATTTGTACTTCCTTTTTTATTTCTTAGTTTTTTGGGCCGTATTTAAAATTTTGGCATGGAGTGACTACTTGAATTTTCGGTGCTCTTAATTATTTCTGGAAGTCACCCTTCAAATAATAATAAAAAAAAAGTCTTCAAAAATTTGTTTTAATACAATCCTATCTAGGGATATCTCAGCTTTAAAAAAAATTTCGTTAATTCTATTGGTTCTTCATTATTTTTTCAGCGAATTCGATTTATATTGGTCAGTATTGCTAAGAAAGGCTGAGAATTCATTTTAAAAATTTTAAAACTAAATAAGAAAAAAAATTAATGTTAACAAAATTGATTTTTGTTTATTTTGTAAATTTATGTGTTGGTTACACTGTTGTCTTTAAAACTACAGTTATTATTAGAAAAAAACCAAAAATTTAGTTAGAGAATCACATAAAGAATGTTTTTCTTATTTTCGGTATCTTAATTTATAATGAGCCATATAAATGCAATTACTGAAGCTTATTCCCCAAGTTCAATAATCCTAATCCCCACCTCAAATGTGGATATTTATATTTACTATTATAAAAATATATTATTTAGGATAGGGTAAATTCCATTTAAACCATGTTCATTCTAACACAAATAATTGTAAAAAATGTTCTAAAATATCTTAAGTGTGTATGTTCTAATTAGGATACACATACACAAACAAACTAATGTTAACAAAATAATAGATAAAATTTAATTAGTTAAGTTAAAAAGTTCAAAAAAAAAATTACTTTTTAACTAGTTAACACCCACTTTTAAATATTTATAAATATGTTTAATTTTAATCTTCTAGTGACGTTCAAAAAACAGTAAATAAATAATATGTTATTAGAGTTGTCACATTTTAGAAACTACGTGTTTAAAACGCCAAAATTTACATTAGCCTTATGAAAAATTTTAAACTATTTACTTATGTTTTAAAGAGTGTTTTCGTATAACCATATTTTTTAACAACCATAGCTTATTATAATATTTTAATTTAAAAATATTTTCAATAATCAATATTCAATGAGACGGATTGAGACTAAAAAAAGCTATGATATAACTTATAATGCATTTCTTGTAATTTATAAGTTTTGGTTGTTTTGAATAACAAAATTAATTTCATTTAATAGTTTTTTAAATTACATGGAATACGACTATCAAACTTCAGTTGAAAAGTATACCATTAACATGTAATGATTATTTTATGTAAATTAAAAGCCGTTTATTTTAGTTTTGTAATAAAGTAATAATATGTTTTTATAGCTTATCATTATTGATGCTTTCAGTTCAATTATATTAAAAGAACTTAATTTTCGTACTGTTTTAAATGTCCTATATTTTTATTAACTTTCTCAAATTAATGATTTTTTAAGTGTAATGGTTTGAGTTTTTTATTATAGTTATAATATGGTGGTAAAAATAAAAAACCCAGTACAGGGAGGTCGCGGCACAGTGGAGACGTGGCATAGTTGGATCAAGTATAATATCTGACAGTGATTAAAATCACTATAAAAAAAAACGCTTCGATGCAAATCTTTAGATAGTGTTTAATTTTAAAAAATTGGTGGATTATTCTAAAAATTACATGATCTACTAGTTCCTTATTAATATCCTGATTAAGATAAAGTATGTCGAATGAAAAAGGGATTATTAAAAAATATTATTTCTCATAAAAAAATTGTGTTGATCCATACACTTTTCAATAAGTTATAGCATTATAAAGTTAAAAATTAAAAAAATTAAATCGAGAATTTTCACACAAAAATAGCATTTGATAGCCATTATCACCGTGAAGACAATATAAAGTCCAAAATTTTTTTTTTTATATTAAATTATATTACATAAACTTTAATTTAAGATATATATAAAAGTATTAGTATTTCCGGAACACTTTCAAAAATTAAGTTGAAAAAGTTCTACTTTCTCTAATCATTTTTATGTTTTGAACTCCCCCTGTATTAAGGGATATAGTCCGATTTAAAAAACAAGTATGTCGAATTAAAGAGGCATAATTATAAAACCTACTTAATGTAAAAAAAATGCAATAATAATTTAAAATTTGTATCCTAATTTATTAGGAATTACATTTAACTTTTAAATGACATAATTATAATGATTCTTAAGTATTAACATAATTTACAACAAATTTGTTAGATTTTAGGTAATTGTATATATATATATATATATATATATAAATACATATAATATTTTGATAATATGTACAGTATGAACAAAACAATAGATAAAGAAAAAATATTTCAACAAAACAATACAAATAAAAAATGTACAAAAAGCTAACTCAAAACAGTAATAATTATACACCCATAAGAAAAACAAATACATGTTTGTATGCTACAACATAAAATACAAAATACAATTTTAGTTATTAGTTACCCTGACAGGTTTAAAATATTATATATGTAAAAATTTTTAACATAGTTTTTATAAAAATATGATAAAGAATAGCACCCATAAAAGAAATGAACAATTAAGAGGCGTGAATTATTTCAAGATTGAATTCATATATAGATTACTCTAGCATACAAATTTTAGTCACAGCCATTTTTGTGAAACATTGAATTGTATCTTTGTACGTATAGTATATACTACATAGTAATAGATTATGTCAGATCTTAAATTTCTAATTAGTTTCATTTAGTTTTAATACATTATTAAAATAATAACAATAAATTATGGCAAATTGCTAACTATAAACATATGATACACATTAAAATCTAGTCAGCTATAACTATATGTATTAAGGCACATACAAATTATTGTTTTTGTTCGTTTTACATTAACTTTAACAATAAAATAATAATAATTAATAATAATATAACAATAAATAAAATCTATCTAGAAAATAAAAACAATCATGTAACATTGAATATATTACAAAAGTAATAATTCAAAACGTATTCATATTTCTTATGTACAAAATAATAGTATCAAAGTCTTAGAAAATAAAAGCAGGTGGGATTTTATTTTGTCAGTATAATAATGAACATGTAAATAAAACTAAACTTCTACTCCATATATCCGGTCCACAGTATACTGATATCTAGTTTCAGCTGATTTTGATTCCCGAGATGATTTACTACTAGGGGGTACAGGTACAGAAACACCAGGTCGTGTGAAAAATGCCATTTTTTCTCTAATATAACAGTAAGATTTATATAAAAAACCTTATTTATAAATTTTTTTTTGACTTACTTAAAAGAAATAATATCTGGTTTTCCCTGACCAGCTTTACTTTTTCTTAAATTGTATAATTTTTGTGAGGCTCTTTTAAGTCGTCTTTCAACTTTCTTTTCATCTAATGTTTTATCTCCAGCCTAAAAATAATAATTTATTTTAAACATACTTCTACTTTTAAATAATATATTAAAATCATACTTCTTTGACAAGATTTTGAAATTCTTCATCCTCAAGTACCCAAGCAGCTACATCAGTGTCACCTGTTTCTTTAGCTATTTCTAAGGTATTTTTTAACTGTTTGAGCCTAGAGATTTCGTCATTTAGTGATAATAGTCTAGCATGTTGAGCTTGTCTATCTAATTCCAAATCAATAGACGTTCTAGGTGGACGACACCAAGATGTGCCACACATTGATGGCACATAACCATTAGGTAAAATACCAGGCAAACGACTTAGACGCAAAGACCTCCTCTCCAAACAATTGCGCCGAAATGCTATATCAGCATTGCTTCCTCCAATTCCTTTCATACTAGCACTAGATGATATGTGTCTTCTATACAAGTTCATGGCACTGTCACTGTCACTGCGATTCAACTATTCAATTTAAATTTAAATTAGATAATTTTGTTATGAGTATTAATAATAAAACTTATATATATATATATAAACATTACTTTAAAAACTTACTTTACAAATATATTGGTTTTTAGCAGCTGGAGAAAACGTTTGAGATCGCTTGACAATAATTGTAGGAGGTACTCTATTTTTTTCACTACTACTCATACTAAATGCACTATCAGTATTTGTTTCTTTGTCTTCTTTATCATTTTCTAAATCCTTAAAATAAATAAAAAATATAAAAATTAGTATTTTACCAAGGTAATGATGAAAAACATAAAAAAGTTGAGTAATTATTTATTTTTCTTACAGGGATTTCCAACACTTTATCGAGTTTTTTTTTATCACTATTCAAATGATAAACTTCAATATCATCAACTTCAACATCATCATCTTCATCGTCACTCACACTATCATCTGAGTCACCTTCATCATATTCAATGGTGTTTCCATTTAAATTGTCGACATTTATAAATTTAGGATCACTATCATCACAACAACCTAATAATGTTTTAAAAATTATTATACTAATTATACTGAATATTTACCTTAAATTAAACATATATTATTCCTTTTTTTTATTACCTTGATTTCTAGTAAGAGTAGACGTTTGAGAAGATATAATAGTAGAATCATCAGATCCACCACCATCATCTTTGAGCAAAATTGAAGGCAAAGACCCACTGTTGTGCATGAATTTTAAACTAAGCAAATTATACCACTTGCACCAAGAATTATTCTCAGTCTCATTGAATTCGGCCAAACTGACTTGAGCACATGCCTTCAAAACAAATAATCGGTTATTTAATGATAAAATGATAATTACTTTAATTTACTTACCAAACACTCAGTTAAATCTTCTGGACCAAGTCCCCAAACATTGACTTGTAGTGTTTTGGTACAAAGTTTATTGGCTGGCAAATTAAATGCAAAACTATCACCAAACCTCGCTTTAGATAGATCTGATATAGGTTTAGTGCAACCACTTAATGAAGGATTTAAGCTGCTTGGTAAAAGCATAACTTTCACATATCTGCAGATATAAAATTAAAAATGAAAATACAATAAAGATTTTTTATTTTTAACTTACAATTGCCAAGACTCAGCAATAGATAAAGCCACTACATTTCGTAATCTCTCTATGCATATATGCAACACTTGTTCAGCAATTGAATACTTTAAGCGAATTTGAACTTGAGAAGTTTCAGCGTTGAAGTTTGATTTATGACTCGCTTCAAATACACCAGAATCACCAGCTACTGATTCATCACTAACTGCAGCAGAAACGCTTCTAGGTGTTTCAGATATAGGTGATAATGGTGGACTAGTGGGTCTACAGTTTCGAGTATATGGCACACCAGTTACATTAGGCAACAAATTTGATGAATCATTCATGTTTTCGTATGCTGGAGGTTGAATATCATCACGCAACAGTCTCTCAACTCTATTTCCATAATCAATATGATATTATATAAGAACTACAAAATTTATCAATGAAAATATACCTTTTATGAAGATCAGCCATGTCTACTGGTCTATCATAGGTAGCAGGAGCTAGACATTGAGGTCCACCATATATATCTGTAAAACTTAATCCACTACTGAGTGATCCTTTGCTACTGGTTGTAGACAATGATCCTAAACTTGAACTAGAACTAACAGATAATGTAGATGCTGACAATGTTTTCAATTGAGTTTCTAGCTGTGTCATTGATCGTAATGCTTCTTTTAGCTGTTGCAATAACAATTGTTTTTCTTCGTGCAATCTTAACCTAAAATTTTTTTTATTAATGACTAAATTTCAAGAAATTTTAAATATACATTTTCAATATTGTATAAATACCTGTCTGCGATAGCTCTATTAGACATTTCTAAACAATTATTTAAATCTTGCTCTAATTTTTTTATTTCACCCTGAATATCAGTCATTTCTTGATGACTACGCGACCGTGGTGTGATACTTCTCAACTCTCTTAAAAGCTGTTCTTTTTCTTGAAATAATAATAAACGGTCTTTATCAGACTCTTCTTGACCAGGCATAACTTTTTCTTCGAGATCAGCTAATTGCTGTTGAATACTTTGGATTCGTTTTCGTGCTTCATCATATTCAAGTCGCATTCGTGCCATTTCAGCTAACCGTGTACCCATTGGCATTAGCTACACATATTCATAAGTACTTATTATTACTTATAGGTATAAAATATTATTATTTAATTTTTTTTAAACTTAATTTAATTTAAATTAAGTTTATAAAATAATTAATTGAAAATGATTAATATAATTGATTTTATTCACTAGGTACATAAATATTTTTAATTTAACATGAAAATTAATTGTTTCACATGAAATAAAATTTAGATATATGGCTGTCAAGGAATTTGTCAAAATGTCTCAAAATTTGAGAAGTTACTTAAAGTAAAGATCTATAAATTTTAGGTTTTATCAAAAGAAATTGTAACAAACTTTCAGGTACATCATGTTTTTATAATGTTATATTTTTCTTTAGCGCGATCAATACTAGAATTTGGTTTAATAAATTTGAATCCACGTAAGAGTAGATTAATCGAAAGTTTAGAAAATATGCAAATAAAATGTATTAATATAATGTATTAATATAATTGCATTTAAAATAAAAGTAAAAAATATAACAAATAATGAAATGTTAAAATATGGTACCACTTGAGGCAGAAGAAAATATCTAGATGTTATGTGGCTCTTTAATTTGTTGTATAACAATATAGATTGTTCAGAAATAAGGAATACTATTCAATATTTCAAGTTCCAAGATAACATTTACGAAGCTCAAAATCATTTTATATTCCGTCATTTCGTTACATATATAGTATGAATGCTTCATTGAATCGTTTAATGCCTATGGATAATGAACTCAATAATTGTAATTTTGATTTTTTTTATAATACACGTGAGGTTTTTATTTGGTTAATTATTAATGTATTTTTGTTTTAATATTGTATTATTTATATTCTTTGCTAATTAGGGTTTATATATAAAAATAAATAAATAATTACTTCGCCTGATAAATCTGTTTGAGAGGCAGTACTTAGTTTGTCACTAAGTTGGGTAGATGAAGAGTGTTGGATTTGTAAATCAGGATCGTCAGTTGCAGAACAAAGTTGTAACCTTGTTAGGTCATCTTTGAGCTTGGCCAAAGATTGCATTAAACCAGTACGCTCTCGTTGGCCAGAGCTAAGAGATTGCTGAATCTCTCTTAGTTCAGTAACAATAGCTTGAGCTTCAACAACATTGTATCGACTGCCATCATTTGACAACTTTTGTTCAACACTAGAAAAAAAAAGTAAATAAAACTGTAATGGTTTATTATTCTTACTAATAACATAAAAAATTACATACTTAGAAAGTGTTTCAACTCCACGACGAGTACACGACATTTCTACACCAATCTGTTCAAGCTCACGTTTTAACCTAGTAACCCTTTCTCTAGCATGAGCCACGTCCGACTTGAGCAAATCAGGATCATATTTTGTACTTATATTACTAGAGCTTGAACAAACTTTAAAAAAAAAAAATTGTATTTAATAAAATATTTGTTGAGGAAATATTGCATTTGAAGAGGACAGGGGAAAACGATAGAAGTCTATTTCTGTAATTTTTTTCAGGGAAGCAAAAAAAAAAAAGATCTAAATTCTTATTCTTATAGTAATTAAACAAAAAATAAATGCTTTAATATCAGCAAAATAAAAAAATTGTTCATCAAATTGTATTTATTACTCGATGTTATGGCTAATCAAACACACTGGCCTATCAAATCAAACTATAAAATTGAAATCGAAAAAAGGACTACTACAGTTTTTTCTTGTACCTCTCATTTACTACATGTCATACTATGCAAATACTCACGACTAGTTCTAGATGTGTTTAATGTCGACAGAGCATTATTAAGGTGATTGTACTCGTCTTGGGCTAGGTATAGTCTTTGTTGTTTAATATCATAAATTTCTTTTTTAGCCTATAAAATGAAAAAGTTACATTTAGTAAATAACTCGCAATAATTACCAATCAATTACAATAATGATGTTTATTAATAATAAATAAATGAATAAATATACAAGTTATTTGATTAACTATGCCTCACATGCAGAATCTTTAAAAGTATAAAACATACTGTTTTTTTCATATAAAACTTTTTGAAAAGTCTATTCAAAAAGTAAATAGTATCATTTTTTTGATTTTCAAAAAAAAAATTGCTCTTATCCCAAATAGTATCAATTTAAGTTTTTTTTTTTAATGAAAAAATACATGTTTTAATAACTTAAAAATAAAAAAAGTTTTAACTAAGAAAATGACTTGTCGATATCTTTTGAATAAGTTTCTTAAAAAATATTAGAATTTATACTATGGAATAGAAATAGTGCGGTTCATAAATGACTAGAAATAAAAATAAACAGATCCACGCTTTACTTCCAGTCATTAGTGTTATTAACATAAAATGTGAGTACTTCAAATGTTCATTGCACTACACATTCTTTTACGTTTGTCTATTCAAGAAAAAGTTGTTGTATATCTAATTTGTTATTTTTCGTTGACAATTAAGTACTTTAAAATATAAGTGTATAGATGTTGATTAGTTTGTTAATTGTTTATTAAATTATAATTAGCCGTTTGTAACTAAAAAAAATTACAATAAATAACAATAATTAAGGCAAATAAATTTGTTTTAACGATGCGATTCCTTTGAATTAATATTATATCAATGTAATTTATTTAATATGAAACAAATTATAGGAATAGCCAATAAAATTGAATAAATGTATCAACTAAAAATCATTTAAAATTGTAATGAACCTCACTAATTATCATATAGATTTTATTTAATTATTTAAAATGTCAAGTTAAATAAGTGTAAGGTCACAAATTATTTCATTATTTTAAAACACTAATTTAAAACTTGAAAAACAACTAAGTTCATTTTAAATAATTTTTCTTTTAATATCTATAACTTGACCGATGTTTGAATTTTTTTAACGGTAGAATGTAAAATTTAATTTGAAAACATTTCAGAAAATTCGAGTATTAGAAGTTGCTATTGCAATGCAAATACTTGTATTTCTAAATTTTTTTTAAATACTCATAGTATTCAATTACACCAGTATATATAATAAATTTATAATTCATATAGACTACAGAATAATAAGAGTATTAACCCCTCTCGTAATAGATAGTAACTGTTTTACTTAAACATTTATGTCAAATAAAATATATTATACTGTAATAAATGACCCAAAATTCTTATACGTCAATATAACACTTTTAATAGACACGTTAATTTTTCACAAGTAGTGTAATTTTGACATAAAGTATTGAAAATTCATACACCAGTTTAACATTTTTAATACTATTTATCCTTACATTGAATGCGTTAAAAACTTCCAATACATGTATGTGAACATTTAGATATTTTTTTCAAGAGTGTAGATTTCGTATTAAGTGGTACAATTCGTTACGACTATCAAAATGTATAGTACCATAATAATAATAATAAAAAAAAAGTAAACCATCGCACTACGAAATGAATTATAGCGGTTTAACTAAGTAGGCTGGAAAAAAAAGAGTATAATAGAAGACTTATGTAACAGTAATAATATATTTCAAATCATTCATTAAAAAAGTCTGCAACTTTACACTATGTCTCCATATATCATCTCAAAAATGGCTCCGCAAGATCTTTGGCTAGTTCTAAGAAATATATTATAATAACAGATGTTCAAACTTAACGAAAAGCTTTTCCTTTTTGATACTTTTAAAAAATCTATCATTGAATTTAAGTAATAAAAAGTAAAATAGCACTCCAAGGCAGGTAAAAATAGTTTCTTACATAAACATAATAGAGTCGGCCAGTATTGTCCCGGTAGTATTGCACGTCCAGTTGGTCGTACGAAGAGTAATCACAATGCGGTGGCCAAGTGTCGCAGCAGTAATGTGAAAACATAGTGCACGCACACATCACAACAATAACAAAAACTAAAAAGACGATAGAACAATTTTGACGATGGTATCCACGTGTCCAAAGAAAAAAATTACAATTTTTAACAATACTCAATGATCGTTTTTTATATATTTTAAAATACACTCGTTGTCTCTCTAAGAAACCGTCGGAAGCAAACTGAGTGAAAGAAAGGTGCGCGCGCGCAACACGGGACTTGCGGGCCGCAGGAAGAGACTGAGGTCATACACACACAGAATCCCGGGACCGGAATTTGACCCAAGGGGTTAGTTTTTCGGTTGCTCGTCCGCAACCGAAGCCAGCGGCTACGAAGGCGGGTGGGGGGAATGCCGAGGAATGACGGTGGATTGGCGGTGGTGTGCGGGTCGAGAGAGGACGGGTGTCTACCTTGGAGGAATTCGGCCTTGCGCTACGGAATCCCAACTATTCCGTGGTGAGGGAACGTGGCGGCGGTCGTCGTTGTCTTACCCACGAAAACACCGCGAGACCATAATATTATGGTAGTAGTAGTAGTAGTAGTAGTAATAGTATAGAATGTATCACTATTATCGTCATTATATTGTGTAAGTATATAGAAAGAAGATGGCAGAAGAAAACAACTCAGAACAATGACCACGCGAGGTAGCTGTGCCGTGATGGTCTAGGGGTTCGTAACGTAGACATTCATCCCCAGAGTTACGGCGGCACTTACCAATTTAATCTTCTGACATATAAAACACATTAAATCTAAGAATTCTAATCTACAGTTTAATAGCTACGAGTGTGGAATTTCTGAAGACTTACAAAATATTTATCTCTAAAACCGCCGCATGGCATTAAATAGAGATATTGTTCGTAAAAATATTTCCGTGCAATTAATCTAATAAACGATAAAAAGATGCCGACAGCAAGGTCTTGTAGTAAAATACCAAAATTTATTATTACCAGCATTCTTTTGATAAAATTATGAGTTAATTTTTAGAATTTTTCATTACACTAAGTCTCATTAGTTTTTGCAGATTATTAAGACAACAAAAATACACACAAGACGATATTATATTTTTCATTTATATACTTTCTGAATAAGAATAAAGTGTGGTCTTTATTAAAAAATACCATGTAATTCTGTGCGAAATCTAAGCAACATTTTTTTAAGGTATGATTTGATTTCTCCGTGCCTCAAAAGTATTTCTACTTAAAAATACATAATTTCATAATTTTTGAGAGGCTATGGCAAAATTTGGGGTGTTGCTAAACCCCCAGAATCAAGCCTATGATGAAAATTAACTATTATCTAAATAAAAAATTAATATGTATAAAATTATTAATTTAATTAACGTAATGGTAGCGTTAATTTGGTTATAACCATTAGGTTTTTACACGTTTTTCTGGATTAAAAATACTATTTTTCTTTTAATTACAATAATCAATGCCAAATAAAATATTAAAAGTACTATTACTTCATAAAAAATGTTGGCTAATATATTATACATCGTTTGAAGCTCTACGACCAACGATAGAATTAAAATTATAATTAAACACTTAGAAATAAAGACATAGAAAGATTTTATAAGTGATTATATGATTAAATTAAACTCATGAATGTATGTTATAGTAATTTTAATGTAATAATCGTAAATGAAATGTTTTAATTTAGTAAGTACATCATTCTTATCATTCTTAAAAAAAATTAAAAAAGATATGCTAAAATTATCAGTAAAAAATATCAGTTAATTGTGTCTAATTAAAAAAAAAATTCTGTATACCAATGAACAACTATTCGAATCACTAAAAAAATGATAAAGATAAAGAATCTCTGTTTACTGATAAGAAGCAAAAACAAGTCGAAATTAAATGAAAAAGAATTTTTTGATCTCGCATACCAAAGTTAAATATTTTAATGATTAGTGTGTTTAAAATGTAAATATAACTATCGGCTCGGCCTAAATTTAACTTATGTTCTAAGTTTATTATACTTATGACGTATTTCCAGGACAGGTTTTGAGCAAAGAATAGCCTTGATGAAATATGTTCTATGTACATCAAACGATTATTGTAAAAATTGGGAAGGGGACTGGAGAAATCATAGATGTTTTGTGTGTTTAAACATAAACATGCACAATCAAAATCGTCACTGAAGACTTTTCCGGTGTTCCGATAATGATTATTTTTTTCCGATTGACTTTCAGGGCCACTCACTCTTTCATAGACTTCAAGGTGGGATTTTATCAGTTATGAACTATTCTCCAACTAATAAAGTGTAAAAATTCAACTAAAATCAAATTTATGAGTTCATTGTTAAAGTAAACCATATTAGAAACGATTTGTATATTATAATTAATAGTTGGATTTTAATGGAAAGACGGCAAAATCGTTAAATGTACGAGGTATAATTATTCCAAATAAAGCATTGAAATTTCTAATAATATATAAAACATTATCAACATAATGTTCAAATTCCTGTTGCTTTTTAGTATCTATTATTCATAATATAGTAATACCCTAGAATGTGGCAAGCACCTGTTCAACGTGAAATCGATGGAATGTGCGCCATTGACTAATCAACGTGAGGAATTTTTCAAATGTTATTCAACGAAATTGACGAAAATCTAAAAAATTTTTTCTTTATCTAAACTACTATTTTAGGAATCGAATATAAATCCATTAAATGGGTTAAGCCGAAATAAACATGATTTCGTATACAGAAAGTCGACAGATAATAATCACTTTAATGTAACAGTTAAAAAAAAGGAGCAGATGGTTCATTGTCTTCAATTTTATTTTTATTTTCTTCCAGTTTAGAAAACAATCTGATCGTGTTATGCCGCAGTCATAACACCAGTAGCAGCAGCACAGCCAGTTGCAACGTTGCCGACTTAGACACATTTTTCCTTCTCTCATTTGTTTTACTTTTATTTCTTTCTCTTCTAACATTTTTATAACAAATCGCTGCTGAGTGACAGCACTCGTACACACATGAAAAATCCTATCGTCAGCATGTGTAACACTAGTGGCAAATAGCAACCGATGCATTAGCCGAGGTATTTTTCTTGATTTTAATTTACATTACTTTTTATCATCTTTGTTTAATCGACACAAAGTAACAATTATAAGAATAAAAAATTTGATTTAGATGTTAATAAATAAACGTATATTACACTGATAAAAATAGAGAATGTCTTTGTTTACATTTTTCTAGTCAATTCTGAATTTTATGACTAAAAACATTTATAAAACTCTATTCAATAGTAATTGAGACAGGATTAAACTTATTTTTTATTTAATCAGGTACATACAAAACTGATAACGATTTGGACATTTACAAGAAAATTAGAAAACTAATAACACAATTCTTCTTTTGTAATAAATGTCAAACAATAATTAATACATTTTGTAGGACATAAAACAACAGTTTCCGGGAAAAATGAATCTACGAGTCATTGTTAAACTAGTTTTTGGCAAAATGTAAATCAAAATATTTTCATCCTATCAATCAGGGACTGAAACGAAAAAAACGATTCTTTAACCGGAACCTTAAATTTTTTAGAACCCGAACTAGAATAGAAATGTTTATTTTCAGATAACCACGAACCAGATCCAAACCGGAAATTTTAATAATAAAGGTTCGTTTAACACAGTTCTTAGCCTTAAAGCAGTATTTTATTTGTATAATTTGTAGCAAAGTTTTATATTTTTGATAAAAAATGAGAATGGTAGGAATTAATAAAAGCTCTATTATAGTTTGTCAAATTTATGAACTAATCAAGAGTTCCAAAATGTTTGTTGTCTACATAATATTATATTTCTAATTTTAAAATGAAATAATCATATTTAAAACATAATAAACATAATTATCGGCTGTTTGTTTCCTATAGGGCTCTAAATTATTATTGAATAATTTAGAGCCATATAGTTATAATTAAATATTATAGTTAAATTTATATTTGAATCCTAAATCCATGAGACTTTTAATTTAACTTTAATTTTAATTAAATTTTAACTATTTGAATGGAACATTGATTTTTGGGAACCGGAACTTATAGTATTATGGTTAAAAGAACCCGAACCGGAACTTCTAAAAAACATGGTTCCAGTCCCTGTTAACAATATTTGGGTCATATCACAATTTGACCTAATTTAATTTTAGGATTACAATTCTATACTCTCTGGTAATTTCTCATGGTAATTTTTTTAAATTCCATGTAAACACATTTGTTATAGTCGCTCAATATCAACAACACAAAAATTACATTGACCAATGAAAGGGAATTGAGTAATCAAACGACTAAAGAGACTAGGAGAAAAATGTTTAATGAGATAAATATTTTGTCGTTGATCCGGTAAATGCGGCGAGTACGTGTTGGTAACAGTGCACGCTCCGTACATTTCACATTCCACATACATAGTGAAGCAAACGATGACGATCTGACAACGTCGCAGAGGGACCGCATTCTTTTGGTATCAAACAACATAGTCGTCACCGGACGGTGGGATGCAAGCAACGAGAGCCCCGCAGCGCCCACTGAACACGTTGTGCCCCGAGCAAAATATTTCTCTCTCCTTCCATTCTAACGTCCCCTATCATCATGGCAACACAATCACCTAGCCGTCATCAATCACCCACCACCCACCGACACCGCAAAACCGGCTTGGAACAGCCAAAGAAAACGAGCCACGCGACCAAAAACCACATAATACTAATATATGCGTTTTGGAAAATCAATTTAAAACGATTCAGAATTTTTTGCTTAAACAGCCTGACTTATATTCTTTGCCAGCACCCCTCACATTCATTTTAAAATACAACGAAAAAACATAACCACGTTTTAGTTTATAGTTTAGTAATAATAATTTATAATTTATTGAACTGTTATATAATAGCCGATAAAAACTCGAATATCTCACTGTAAATATTTAGGCTAACAAATAAAAATATCTTAATCAGTATACATCAATTTGAAGATACGGTAATTTGTAAAACAGTATTAAAGACACTAGAATAATAAATCTTTAGATTTTTACCTATTTATTTTATATGGAAATGCAGCGGTTAATACACTAATTCGTTTTACGAATGTGCAATACATAAACGGTATAATTGAAATTGCATCATTGTCCGAGAGAAGAATTTAAACATTGAAATGATTCGGAATGTGCTATTTAATAATATCTTAAAAATCAATTGCGGTTTCAATGACTTTTGGCGGTCGATAAATCAATTTATCATGGACTTGGAATTTTTAAGATATAGCCGGAAGAATAGTACACACACAAATCAGGCGAAGTTTGAACTATTCGCTACAATACACACAAACAGGCGTCACAATATATTTGCCTCCTACCACTTACAAATCGTTTTGCAGCGATAAAAATATTAAATGAAATGCGAAAAAATGTAGATATACAAAAAATAAATGGGTCTACACTTTCCGCAATTTATGATTAAATTGCTGATCAGCAGCTGGCAACACCCTGTGTATAATTATTATGGAATTTAAAATATTACAGATATATAATCAGATATCTGCGCATGTTAACATTTTTTTTATGACTTGTCAGGTTAGTCCAGAGGAATTTGTCATTGAACTAAAAGTGGGGCAGAACTATCACTAAATAATGAACATACTACAAGTACGAAAAGTAACTGCATATCGTATCCATAAAAAAAATATTCTTATTGTTTTCTTTTTAACCGTATAAAAAATCTTACTATCATAATAACACTTTTGAATGATACATCGTTTAAATTCCTCAAATAACACAATTGATCAATACTTAATCATGTAGTATTGCGTACGCTAATTCGTAAACGAGTACTATCAATAATATATTTGTACAGTTATTGAAGAGTTGATAAAATAACAAAAATAATGCCTAAAATGAATTTAAGAACATTTTTGCAACTATACAATGTATTTATACGGCATTGGTGATAACTTAACTTAAAATGTATTGATTCAAGGTATAATAATATAATATACAGCTAATTTTCATTAATTAAAACCAATTAACTTCATTTTCTTGTAATTAATTGTATTAAAATATGATATATTATAATATAATTTATAGCTCTATAAAAGTGTTGTGTTAAAATTCAAAATTGCTTTAGTTATATTAATTTATCACTTACTTCTAATACATCTTGAGCTGTATGAAGATAATCCCTTAGCATAGCCTCTTGAACAGCTCTCCACTCCAACCTCGGGTCTTCCAATTGGGTGCATTCTACAAAATAATAATAACAATAATAACAACTATAGGCCAGATAATAAAGGAAAATAAATGATAAACTAAAAATCACTTACGGTTGAAATGGTTGATGTAATAAACCCCGATGACAGGATCGATGGCCTCTTCCCAGCCAAGAGGTAATTCATTGCCAATACAATCGGCAAATGATTGAGGTTTGGTGAACCTGTAACAAATTTTTATAGCTTTATTAAACTTATTAAATATTATGAAAAATATAATTTGAAATATATTTTAAGAAATGTCTAATATTACGATATATAATAATAGCAACACCAAAAAGTAATTCAATCTACTTAGTATAGAAATGTCTAAGTTAGAAACAATATGATTGTTTGAGGTTTACAAGTTATTAAAACATGTTATACTATAGTATCATTAATTAAAAACATTCAAAACATAAATCTACTAATAAAAGAAGTAACATATCAACAAAATTTAAGATTTTAGAAATACAAGCCAACAATATAAAATATTTTTTGTAAAATTATTTAGCATTAATAATATTTTTCATAATTACAAATACAAAATTTATGCTCCCGCGAAAAAAAAATTGATATATATCCTCATTTCATATTACCCGCTGATGGTAGATAACTTATTTTTTTTAAACAAATCTTTATTTGTCATCATACTTTTTATTCGACTCTAGAGTTATGAAATCATAAAAATGAATGAACCCATAAAGTACTTTAAAATATTGAATAAATTATACTGATTATTAATCTTTCCTAAAATCTTTTAATATCTTAATAACGTAAGATTATTTAAAACTTTTTATTACTCAACAGTCATATTTTACATCATACTAGTTTTCATTGCATGAATAGAGAAGTATAAAAATAACTGTCAATATTGATAAAAAAACGGGTTTCGATTATTTTAAATCGACTAAATTATTATAAAGATATACTATAACAAGATTTCTCAAAAAATTTTTTTATTGTTGAAATTATTGTTTTCAATCATAAATATAAAAATTATTACAAACTAAGTTTCATCTAAAATTATTTTATTTTTTTTGATGATAAATATTGTAATAATTTATGTGCTTCTAAAAAAAATGTTGATATGTTTGTTATTCTTATATTTTATCTTAATTGTTTTTGCTGATGTTCTATTAAAGAATTGCGTCAATTGAAGTAATCAAATAAAATTGGTATGTGTGAATGTATTGTACAAATGAAAAACATCTATATCTACATATACTCATTACAAACATATTTTATTTTATCATCGTATATAAATAATAAATACATTTAATAAGTTTTATAATTAAATTTTAATATTATGTAAACAATTAATTTTTGACATCGTCTGATTAACCCCAATCTTCTTCTCCTTCGTCTTTATCAAAAATATTTGGGGTGGCCACCTGCAGTGGCGTAGCTAGAATTTCATAATGGGGAGATAGTAAAAAAATCTTTAAAACTCCATATTAGGGACCTTTTTTTTGTTCAACACTTTATTTAAAAAATGAATACTATTATCAATGGAGAGAAGCTTTGAATTCCCTGGCTACACCACTGGCCACTCGTATCCTAACACATTTTCCTACATCATCTATATACACACCAGCAGTCCTCATATCACTTCTAATTACAACCAACTACCTCTTCTACGGTCTTATTGTTCCTCTTCTTTAACTTTTATTTTCATAAATTTTCTTACAGATTCCAATTTTTCTCTCCTCATAAATAACCTAACCATCTAAGCCTATTTTCTTTCATTTTATCCACGATTGACGCTATTCTTATGCTTCCTTTTACACATCATATCGTCGCTCCACTCATCAGTCTAAGATTGAGAAAAAAATGTTTTTTTTTTTAATTAAAAAATTGGTTTTAAATAGGATTAAAATATTTTAAATGTGATATTCTCTTAATAATTTTTTTATATGTTATAACAATTTTTATTCTCGATTTATTTAATTTTAAAACAAAAAAAATCACATAAGAACAGCAGGCTGATTCAAAGTATAACTCATACATAATAGTATGTATACCCCAAAATAAATAAGATTCTTAATAATATTTTACCAAATGTGTTAATTATATTGCTCATTGAGTAAATAAGTCAAATTCATTTTTAATTTTATTCAAGTTTTTCATTTTGTTTAATAATTTTTAGTTAAAATTTTGTTGTTAAAGTGTTTTTATTTTTTAACTAATGTAATGACAATTACAATATGTAATTTTACTTATATAAAATTGTATTATTTTAATTATTAATATTATAATTATTTTTTTTCGCGATTAACGGCTTATTGAGGGCGACTGCGTCATCCTTTAAGAGGAAGTTTTTTAACAATATATAATACTCCAGGATGTGTGGTTAGTCCATCGCCAGAGAGAGGGATGGCAGCTATAAATACTAAATTGATGACATGTTCAGTAAACGGAGCCGCCTGTGACCAAGTCTTAAACCCAAAACACAGTGCGCATCAGGTACTGTCGAATTACCGACACGGCCACACCATCCTTCAATAAAAATTCAATATCAATATAGTAATAATGATCTATTTTATATCCTTCTATTTCCCAAACTTAACATACTACAAAGGGTGGTGGCCTTCTTTCACATGTTAGGGAGTCAAAAATGGTTCTTGACTAGGCCAATAATAGACACGATAGGACGGGTATTATGATCGGCTTGCACCAGAGACCAGACACCACCAATGAGAAAATCATAAGAAAAATTACGTTGGCACTCTGGAGATCGAACCAGGATCCCGAGAAACATACGTTTCTACCCACTAGACGAGGTTTACTTTTTTGACAATTGTTCAACACTTTGACTCATACAACATAATTGGTGTTACTACAACTTATAGAACTTATCTTTTAGCCTCATTGGGATTTTCTTATCACACAAAACACCAGACGCTTCGTTCCACTTGATCCTCCCGCGCTGAATGTCTCAAATTTTCGTTTATACCACTGTTTTTTTGTACAAATGATTCTAAATATTTAAAACTTCCACTTCAACTATCATATCCTCATTTATTGCCATAACTCATTTTGTTTCATCATCCTCGTGTTTTATTTCTTCATACTCATACTCTATATATTCTGTCTTACTTCTACTAATCCTTAATCTCTTTTCTTCAAGAGCTAATCTCCACATCTCGAGCATCTAACTTTTGAACTTCTTCATTTTCTCTTATTAGCACTATTCGCCAGAGAACAACATACACTACGGTATCTTTCCTTGTATTTCTTTAGTAATTTCATCCATCACTATAGAAAATAAGTAAAGGTTTAAGCCCAATCTTGGTGCACTCCTACTCTTACCCTAAAATCTTCTACTACTCCGGCCACATTTTTTATCCTGGTACAAGTGCCATCATACATAATCTCTATTATATTTATGTACCTTTTGGGACTCCTTTACTCATTAAAACCTCCCTCGAAATTTTATCAAATGCTTTATCCAAATCTATAAATACCATACAAAATATTTTCTTTTTCTCCCTATACTTTTTAATTAGTTGTCTCACACAAAAAAACGTCGTAGGCTCTCCAAGCAAAAAACCAGACTGATTCTTTGTTATTATGTTTCTCTTTTTATTCTTTTGTTTATAACCCATTCCCAAAACTTCATACTATGACTCGTAAGTTTTATGCCTCTATACTTTTCACGTTCCTTTATGTCTCTTTTGCATTTAAATTCAGTTACCACAAAACTATCATTCCGCTTTATCACTATCTACCCTTATATTAAAATATCATTGAATATTAGTATCGATAAAAAACTTGAAAAAACATATATTATATTGATAGATTTTATAATATATATATAAATATTAGTATACTCATATATACACACCATAGTTTTTAATTTATTCTAGTGTGTCATATAGAAATTAATTTTAAAATTGTATCACCTAATTGAATAATAACGTATGCTGAAACAATGTATTTTTATTAAGGTTATCTTGGACAATTAAAAGCAAATTCATTAGGTAGACCATAATAATAAAAAAAAAAAAAATGTAGCGAGACATCCGTTAGAGCTTAGAAAAATCAATTGCATTATTGATAAAAAATACATATGAATAAAAAGTCATAATTAGAAGTTTCAGATTATTGTATAGTATCATTTAAAAATTGCTGCAGATTATAATTCTCTTGTAAACATAAACAATTTTTTTGAACATTTAAAATATGTTGTATTTATCTATCATTTGGTACAATGGTAATTTAAATATGGGTAAATTTATAAAACCATTTTACAAATAAAAACTATACAATTAATGAAAATTATTTTCTACGGAAAATAATGTATATTTTAATATATTCTTTACTATATTAATGAACTTGGAATGTGAGATCAAATAAAGTGTTGGATAAAGTACTAAACTATAAATAAGTATTTAAACAAAATTAGAATGCTAAACAATTTTGCAAACAATATCAATTTAATAAATACAAATATACATATACTAACTAAATAGATATTTAATTAGTACCTATATATATTTTCATTCAATCAAATATGATACGAAAAATACATTTTTAGTTTTTCTTTTACCTTTAACTAAATACTCCTAAGAAACTACAATTATATTTAATCTTGAAATTATATAATTTAAAACTTTTTATCTCTCCCACTTCAAAATAAATGAAGAAATAATAAATAAAAATAATGAGACTCTAAAAATTTCTCAATAATATATTTTACTTGTTTTTTTAAATTTTCAATTTCATTAAAACTGAAACTAAGTATATATAAATTATGTCTATCTTTAGGCGAAAAAAATATTTATTAGAAAAATGATGAGGATACTGATTTATAGTAAATATTTTTAAACCAATAAAATGTAATAATAGATATAAATGGTAACCGAATACACTGTTAAATAACATAAATTGTTTAGCTTCTATTATTGGCATCGATGATGCTAGGAAGTTTTATAATTGAAAGGTCGATATAACAGGTCATTTGGACGATCTAAGTATAAATATATGTTTTTCATAGACCGCATGGCGACATTACAAATCTGAGAGGGTCTTCTGGTCTATTAAGATTGTTTATTTATAACACAAAATTTAATAGTATGCCACTAAAGAATAAATTATTTATTTACGTACATAGGAGTAGCAAAACTATAAGCTTTACTAAAACGATTTAAATAGTTTACCATTGTTCGATCTAATTTAAATTGACAAAAGTGATACGAAATAATAAACAATAAAAAATTTCTAGCTTAAATTGAGATTAAAATAAAATTAACCAAAAGTAGAATATATTTTTAATCAATTATTAATTAACAATAATTAGGTAATATTGTATTCTACATTATACATAGAACAAAAGTTATAGAGTACAATAACCCAACCATTGGTTATTATATCAATTAAAACAGAGATACAAATAATGACTATTATTATATATATCAGTGTTTTTAAGCAAATTTAAACCATTTCTGACATAACAAATAAATTATAATTAAATATCGGTATAAATAATACATTTTTTTTTATCAGTATAAATAATGCGTGCATTTTTAGTCAGTCATAACAAAAATTATTATCAAATTATGATTTTTAATTGATGAACTGAAAAAATAAATCGACTTTTAAACTTTACCTAAAAATTTACTATTTAGAATCGAAATATTTTTCGAGGGTTTAAATTTATAGCGGTTTAAAACTTAAATGATTTACTGGTAGGAAATTGCGTATTATAATAAATATTACAACTCAATCAAAATTATAGAAATCAAATAGCATAATGCTATTACAAAACAAAATCTTCAGTAAACATTGATAAGTTTGTTAAAGAATGTGATTACTTTTTATATAAAAGAATTTTAATATTTAATATTTATACAAACATACAAATATTTATACTCTTATCACACTTGCTGTGTATTTTATTAAATTTCATGAGTATAAAAAGTAAATATAAGCATGATAAAAATTATCAGTGCTAAATAAATAACGATATTTATGTAAACAAATTTCTTACAAGGATCAGTTCATAAGAATTTATTAATTGAAAATTTTTTTTCTAAAATGTACCATTTAAATGCTTGTTTCATTCGAAAGTGATAATTTTTAATTTAATTATTTTCATCAATAATAATAATATTCATTATATAAATTATTTATATCAATAAATACTAATATTCACTTAAATGACAATAAAACAAAATAATTCTATGTTTAAATATTGCTAACTTTAATAAAATAGGGATTAAATTTTAGAAATTAGTTTTGTATACATGTTTAAATGAAACTACTTGTAAACTAATGTATTCAAATAGTTTATATACGTTGTTAGTCAGAAATCAACTTGAATTCTTAAATGATTTTCCAATGTCCAAAAAAATCACTGGTATAATCTACTAAATCATGTGTAAAATGTTTAGTATATATAATATCCATGATTATGTCAATAGACCCGAAAAAACTATGAAGTTTAATATGGTATAAGATTTAATATGGTATTCACTAAACTACCGAATAGACAATAAGGAAGTGGCGGGGAATGAACAAAGTTTGGCATATTTCAATACAGATGGCTCTGACGACAGTTTGAAATAAAAAACCGTGATGTTCCAGCCGGATTTCTGTCAAAGGAATGTGCACTCCACAATTGTTTGATAATATTTTTCGCGGGACAAAAATTAAAATTACAACTTAGTAAAATATTAAATATCTTTACCTGTCTCTGGGGTCAATCCAAGTGGTTTTCTTAGAGTTATGATCGATGAAATACACTTTTCCATCATAGTCTCTAGCAAAATCCCAACCATCGGGCAACGGTATCTCTCCGTTCCGTCGTCTTGGCATTGTATTATATCCATCAAAGTCACAAATTTAATTCGTTTTCAAACACACTAGTACCGAGATTAATAAATACATTTGATCGGTTTAAAATGCCGTTAAAACAAAATAAAAATAAATTTAATATTCGAAATTAACACACGGACCGACCGACGATAGATGTCACGCGCACTTCGCCATCTTGGAAATGGTCTGACTGAACGCAACGTTGCCCCCGTCACCTCGACAAGTAAAACGAGTATACAGAGTGGTCGCGGTGCGTTGCCTAGTCGATACCTAGTCCCATTATCAATCGCATGACATCACCGAAACAGTAGCCAATCAGACCGCGGATTCTCTGGAATGTGGCTATTACCATAACATGGCCCGAGTATAGACTACATAGTAGTGTGCAATATGCGCATGTTATATATATTTGTTTGTGTGAGTGCTTGTACGCCACTTCATACATTTTTTCCTTGTCTAGTATACAATAGATCTGTGCGTATGAAATGGAATTCCTGTCCTAGGTTTTTTAACATTTTTTACCCCACACCGCTCAACATTAGATCACGCGTCACGAATGATTCATACTGAACTATAAACTAATACACATAAGAAAAAATACTTTTTTTAAGAATTCTTTCTTCTATTTTTTTATTAAGCATCACGTTTACATTTCAGGCAAAATTATTGTTTCAATGATTATAATATATGATAATAAACTACATAACTAGAACTAAATTTAATTAAAATATTATATTTTCGCCTAGAAATGTCAAAATTCAAATTAAGAGAGTGGTTTAATTTTAAAATTTCTATATATAGAAGTCTATTCAAAAAACACTTATAATTTATCTAATATATTTCTGTTTTAAATTAATTATTTTATTGAAATTTTATTTATATAAATAATACAATTATAGTGAAGGTTACATTTAGACATATGGTATCTGTTATATAGGCAAAACTAGAATAAAATTAAATTTTCACAATTTTTTTGATATTATTGTTTACTTTCAAGACTTAATTTTACTTTAGGTTAAAAGTTGTCAACTATACCAAAACATTTTCAAAAATTGAGTTAAAAAATTACTTATTTCACTCAAGTGGTTTCTTTCACACCCAAAAACATGCCATTAGAAAGGTAATTATATCTTGCGTTGCTGATATTAATTTCATTAGGATCAGTGTTTTCAAAAAAAAATTAGTCTTTTTAAAAATGCAGAAAAGAATTATTAAAAATGTCATTTTTCCGATAGCAAAATTTAAAAATATTTTTCTAAAATTCTAAAATTGAAGTTTTTTTTTTGTTATAATTTCCAATGACGTTTGGTTTAATTAGATTAAAATCGGGTTATTTTAACGTAATGAACATTAAAATCAGTTCAATGAGATCTGAGAGTTTTCATGAATATATATAAAAAACACAAATCATAACAAAAATTATATATTCTCATCTTTGCATCGCATCTAAAACTGAAGTAGAAATTATAATAACACAAAAAACGGTGATTTTTTATTCAAAAATTACATTTTTTGTTTAACTGTGACGACCTTTGTTTATATATATAGAACATAAGGCGATAAGTTAATAGTTAAAGCTAAATAAATTATAAATTAAACTAGTTAAAAGTTTTAAATTTTAAACTTATAAATTTCATCGGAATATTTGTTTTCATATTAATCCACTTAACTTACACACTATAACTTAACTATAGTGTGTAAGTTAAGTGGAAATGGATAACTTTTCATGCAACAGTTGTTATTCTAATCCCCTCATTTTTAAAACTTTTATATTATTTAAGTTTTATATTTTTTTTCGTGAGCAAACAAAACGTTATTTTTTTCCTTAATTATAACATGTAATTCAACTATATTTTAGGGTAAATATGGTATAATATAATAAATGTTATAATAAAATTATAAAAACTTAAAGAAAATAGAAGAACACACAATTTAAAGTTATTATACACATACTAATGGGTACCCATAATTTTTTTTATAAGTAAAGATCTATTTCATTATAGTTATCTTCAATATTTTTATCGTAATTGTTATTCGCCTGAAGAACAGCAACTAAATATACTCATATTCAACAGTTATTATCTATTCAAGATTTAGAGTATTATTATTACATACATCTAAAAATAAATTTAGTATATATTATTAATAAAAGGAATAATAAGTTGCGTTTTCATAGAAACATAGATGTACTTATGTAGAAAAACGTAAACTATAATATTATACAACTGTATTTACAAGATTCATTTTAATAAACTAAATAGTAAAATTGTACAAATTCAGATCCTGAATATTTTTTTACTTTATTTGATTGTGGAAACTTTTTTTATTAAGTCAAACCTCGAAAAAAATTTTTGAAATAAAAAAAAGATCAGCAATATATGAAATTAATTTGATACGAAACACATACTAGCTTTTAAATTATGTTACTGTACCTAAATTGGGCATGTTATGATGAGTATGATCCCTAAATTCACCATTGGTGTACACACTGTTTATAACGTCACTAAGAATAATTGTATATTATTTATAAAGCTTAAAATGAGGAGCGATATAATGTGTTTCAGTTCTTCATTTCTTTATACGATTAACAAGCGTATTAAGAACTTTTTTATTTGAGAATTTTTTATATTAAAAGTCACTCAAATAGACCTAATTGTTTTATTATAACAAGGCATATTCATTGATTACTACTTCGAAATTAGGCTTAAAGTGTGATAATAAGTTGCTAATGCACTACTAACCCTTCACTTTTTTTGAACCAGTGACATGGTCTATAGTTTTTTTAGGGGGGAATTTCAAAAGCAAGACCGGCTTAGAGTGACTGCAAGCCGGGCGATTGCTTAGGGCGGCATATTGTAATTTTTTTTATTAAAAGTATTAGAAAAACATAACCTAAATAACATTACGAACAAATTCTGTTATAAAAAAAAAACGGTAGCACAGTGGGGTCGAAGCACAGTATAGACGTGGCATAGATGGGACATGTATAGATGATATCTGACAGTGATTAAAATCACTATCATAAGAAACGCTTCGATGCAAATCTGTAGATAGTGTTTCCTTTAGAGAAATTGGTGAAATATTTTAAAAGCAACATGAACTCTTATTTCTTTAATTATATCCTGATTAGTAGTTCTTTGATTTTAAAATATAATATATGAATAAATACTAATTATAGTTTTTAAATTTAGTATGAAATTGTNAATTATAGTTTTTAAAGTTAGTATGAAATTGTGTGGCCAGCTATGATGTATGGTTAATAGTGTTGGGCGGTTGGTAAGAAAGTAGAGCAGAGAATAAGTGTAGCAGAGATGAGAA